GCTTAGGTAATAATTTCACTTTTTCGCTGTCATCTTTTCATTGGCAAAATGAAATAGTTTTATTAAGAAAGCTTTTTTTTTTTTTAAAAAAACTTCGTTTTTCTTAAGAAACTTCTTTCTTTTTAGTCCAAAGGCGCTTTGTCCCTGAAGAACTATTGATTTCGTTTCGCGATTTTGCGTCCATTTACTACAAACGGCGAATCACTTTTCAAACTGTTGCCACAAAGTATTATCGCCCTGTGTTATATTTAAAGAAATTAAATAATGAAAATTCTGCATAAATGTATGTATATTTCTCGCATTGTGATACAACACCGGTACATAGAACCATCGAATATTTTGAATGGCGTAATCCTCCCACGAATATGGGCATGTGGAAGACGGACTTTGAAATTTGGAATTTGTTTTATTATCGATTTCCTATTTTGTAAAACTTTAACGAATTTTTGATTAACAAACCGAAGGATTTCAAAGCGAGCGATGGCAACGTTGTCCAGAAGAAACATTTATATCTCCAGCGCGTGAGTCTCTGTATCGGAAATTCTAAAGATAGGCAGGCTCACTTTAAAACTATTTTACGATATTGCTGTTGAACTGAATTTTATGGTTTAAGTGCGAAGAACGGGATATTTAATAAATAAATGTAACAGACAAAATGTTAAAAAACGCCTCTTTGGACGTAATTTAAAATCTGAAACATTTCAGATTTTTTTTCTTTCTTTCTTAAATTTCGTTTTCTTAAGAGAAAGCAGTAAGTCATTTGGTAAAGCACTCTAGAACTATCTGTCTAAGAGGAAGGATGCCTTCGAGGAAGACTTTCAAAGGGAAACTGGCTCGTATACACGTTACTGTTATGCATGGGTGACGCCAACCAACAAGATGCATAGAGGGCGCTAACTCTCAATCCGAGAGGGGCCAAAGGTTTAGTTTCCAGAAGGAAGACCTACAGAGAAGTCCTAGATAAGGGGAGGGCTGATGGGAGGCGAAAATTGTTTTACTTAATGCATATATTTCAATTATTAGTAGTGTAGTTTTAGTATTTAGTTTTGTGTGTGTGCAATAAATGCTTAAAATACAAGGTGGAATTATTCCTCTATGAGACGGTGTACGACGAATGAGTGACATCACATCCAGTGATTATTTGATGACGGTTATACACTCTAGGACTATCTGCTTTCTAAACTAAATTCCGCCTGTATCAATAACTGCATGTTTCTAAGAAGCTGTGGCGGGAGTTAAGGCCTTTAGAAAACTTTGTACTCTTTACCGCGAAACATTAAATGAGTTGCATCGACACTGTCCTAAGCAAAAATTAGTAGTTATTAAAAAAAAATAATTGTGTCATATATCTGCCTATTCAGAAGTAATAGAAATCCTTTCAGTTAACGTATGTTTCATATTTCCTTATTAATTATAACAATATTTAAGTTGTACAAATTATATATTGCTAGCAGCTACACGGCCAGCCTTCGTCTGGCTTTTAAATATACGGGAAAAATGCCTAAAAAGAACACCAAACATTAAATTAAAAAACTGCGCAGAATTTTACTCTGCTGAACAACTTCATATTAAGAAAAGTATTACATATAACAAAATTACAAAGAAATAAGCAATATCTTTTAATACAAATATTAATTATCCTATTAAATAAATTAACCAACTTTCCGTTGCAAAATCTTAGAATTCAAATGGTATAAGGGACTAAAACAATCATGCAACACCTTTTATATAATAAAAAATATATAATTAAAACATAATATAAAAAATACAATAAAATAAGCAATAAATCTCATATATAATAATCTCATATCTCATATTTTTAAGAGACAGCAGTCCAGTATCCGAAGCAATGAATGAAAAACTGTTGCCAAAACCACATTTCTAAAAGAATGAAACTATCATCAAAAAGCAATAAAAAATCAAAATTGTGCTTTTTGGATGACATAATTAAAATTATACAAACTTCTTTGCCATTAGCTAATAAAGAAGAGGGGATTCTTTCTGTTGTGCCTCGCGAGACAGAAGCGCGTCAGAATAAAAAGATTGCGATGTGCGTGTTGCGTGTCCAAAAATCAAAAGAAAAAAATCTGATGTGTACACCACATGACTTCCTTGTACGGAATATTAAATTATACGCATTTTTTCTTGCATTTTTTAAACTTATTCGAATTGAAATAAATCTACTTCGTCGACAGCGCATAAACACAATAGAATAAATGCACGCTTTAAAATTCACTATGTTTATTTACCATAAGCGGACACTCTGGATCTAAGGATTCACTTAACAGCGTTAGGACTTATTAATTTTACAACTCAGAATGCACAAAAATTATATCATTTGAAGAATGATCTAATCTTTCCCACATGTTCTATTCAAATAATAGAATAACTAAATCTAAAACGATGTATTAAAACGATGTAAAAGAAATTAGCAAACAATAAAAAACAGAAACAGTTTTTCACAACGATTGATTCAGCACCGCATTTACCTAATTCGGTTCTCATGCGCTACTCACCAACATTTTCCTCTGTCCCATATCTAGACCGGTGACAATATTTGCAACTAATACGAAGCACTTATTTCCTCGAAAAATTCCAGAAAGAATGAAGCATGATTTTTGGCAATAATAAATGAATACGTTATCTTTGCTGTTGCGAACCTAAGTTTTTCTAGATTGGCAAAAAAACCACTAGTCTCCTGTTTCAAATGTAAACATGAATGGCCGCCATTAAAAACAGGCTTAGCGGCAATTAAACAACTTTAAAATTGCTGATAATTCTAAAAATATTGCACACAGATTTACTAAAGGCATAAAATCCTTAACGGAAGATAAAAACAACATAATCATCATTTTTAAAGCAAAACATGTACATTTACAAACAATAAGAGTAAAGAAACTGAGATCACTGAGCCGGGTAATAGAGTAGATACATATATAAATATATTTATATACGTTTGGTGCGGCCGATTGAAACCAAAATACGAGGTGCACATCTACATGTTATAGCAGTCCTATATACAAAATTTCAACGTTCTGAGGCTACTCGTTTTTGAGTTATGCGAGATACGTACGTATGCACGCACGTACGTACATACGTTCATACAGACGCCACGAAAAATTCTCTTCAGAATTAATTTTAAAGCAGTTTTATAATTTTTTTGAAGGAAAAGAGTATTTTATTCTGTCCTTACGTACAGATATCACGCAAAAACATCGTTAAATTGCATTCGATAGCGGTCAAAATGGATATTTTCGTTGAAATATGCTGCCTGAAACTTTTCGCGATTACAATACATCATTTTATCTCATATTTTCAACTGTCCAGTATAAAAAGCATTGAATGAAAAACTGTTGCCAAAATCACATTTCTAAATGAATGAAACTATTCAAAATGGTGCGATAAAATCAAAAAGGTAAAATAAAAAAATCTGATTCGAATTTTGAAAAAACGCTTCGAGGTGCACTGGCTCTTGTCTAGATACACCTATATACCAAATTTCTTACCAAATTTCTTAGCACGTAAGCTAATAGATAGCTAATAGTTCGAACTATTAGCACGAACTATTAGCTATCTATTAGCTTATGTGCAGCACGAACGAAAGACACACCGACTCTTTCTTTTATTATATGTAGAGATTTCTTAATATCCAACCCGTTTTTCCCATAATAAGTTAATTTTGTGGAAAGCGATTTTGAACTATGCGTTAATGACATAATCCTCGCATTCGGCACGTATTTACTATATTATATGGTCAAATCATTATTACTTAGTATTTCTTAATTACGAGTAATGCCATTATGGTAGTGGAAGTTATTCTGTTATAAGATTTAGAATACGTTTATTGATTCCTAACAAAATTTTATAAAAGCTTTTTACGTAAATTATTAATTAAAAGAGAGATTTTTAAAATAAAAAAAATAGTTCATTTTAAAATGATTTAAAATAGCTTAATTTTATTAAAATTTTTATGTTAAGCAAAAAGGAGTGGCAAATTTTAGGGCCTTACGAAGAATTAATTACACCTATTACTACCATCCTAGTTACTTTCCCATACTTAATTTATAATTCCTCATATTCAGGCCTCGATTTACAAAACTATAGGCCAGGGATAATAAAGAGTAAACTGTTAGAGAAGTCTTCTCTAACAGTTTACTCTTAGATGTACAGTTCGTGTGCGAAATGATGCGATAAAATTGAAAAGATAAAATAAAGAACTGTTGCCTTTTCGATATTTTCAGTGTAGCAGATATCCTTGAATTAAAAATAAACACAATATTTTGCATTTTTAAATCATATATGAGAAACTGAAGGCTCCTTGAAAGTGAAAGCTGGGGGTACATACTCTGTTCGCGCTTCAAAAGTCAGGAACTGATCACATTAAGAAATCATGCCTAGAAATTAATATGAATTCCTTTTTGACAAATTATTTTTTCTAAATTAATTATTTCTTAATAAATGAACTTGTAGGCACATTATGAAAAAAAAAAAAATGTTGAAGCTTGAAAAGAAATTAAAAAAATATTTTAAAAAAATTGAAACTTTAAATGGGGAAAAGTATGTAAGTTCATTAGAAACCAACAAGACATTTTTTAATACAAATAAACTTGCATTGTGTTCATACACTACGAATAAGATAAAGAATAAATGGCAACCCTTTAACGTCTAATAAAGAGTTTATACCTTTGCCAACAGATGGCAGCACTAACCGATTCTTCCCGGAAACTTTTCACAAAGTTCCGAAACATTTTAAATGGGAAACAATTAATTAAAATTTCATTGTGGTGTAAAAAACTGTTCATGCAGCTTTCATTCAATATTGTAAATTCTTAGCAAAATGCTTCAGGAAAAATAACAATTCACTACGCTGAAAAAATTAATTTCTTATTTACGTTATAAACAAAAATTCAGGTTTAAAAAAAAAAAAAAAATCGCAAATCGTCGTATTACCTTTGTTTTCTTTAAAGATAATCGAATTAGACAAATAAATATGAACTTACCAGGAGTTATGTTCTCAATTCGGGGACCAAAGCCTTCGTCGCAACCTCCTACGACAGAAAATCCAAATCTTTTGTCAGATGGACCAAGAAATATTTCTACACAATCTTCGTCTGTGGTCCCACCATTTTTCTCAAGTTCCTATTTTGCAAGAAGAAAAAGTAGAACATTAAAAGTGAAATTCAAACATTATCTTGTGAGAAACATTATGGAATCAAAATTTGAAATTCTGCATTTCCTATCGAACCATAATTAGATTAGCATCACTAGCAGTTCATCCAATTTGCGTCTTTTTTATATTTTTGCCGTGTTGTGGTGATAACATTTGTCAACGCAGTTATATATTTTTGTAAAATTAGACGCGTTTAAAATGACAATAGCAACTTATAATGCGCTTAATAATCATACTTAAAATAAAGAAAAATTTATTTATCTAGTAGAGAATAGCGCTTGCCGGGCAAACGCGTCTAAAATATATATATATATAATGACATAAAGAATTGTTTTTATTGCTTTTAAATCACTTAATTTGTTAATCAATAACAGACAAATTACATTAAAAAAATACAAATAAATAAATAAATATCTAACGTTACCGAATGGCAACACACTGAAGTATGGAACACAAAAATATTTTATTTCGGTCTATGGAAACGCATCTCTTTTATAACGCCGAATTTTCTGATCAAGTTTGAAACAAAATATCTTACACATTGCCGTGTGGCAACAAATTGCTTTCAGATCGTTTAGTTTGTTTATGATGACTTGATTAAATTCCCATAAAACACGAAATTAATATATATATATATATATGTGTGTGTGTGTTCAAAATTTGGTGGCTCTAAGTGGCGTTTTTTTGCGACGCGAGAAACACATATAGATTCTACATTATTTAACCCTTTTCGGCACGCTACTCTTCAAAGTTGGCATTTTACCAAAAAAAAAAAAAAAAAAAAAAAAATGTAGGCAGTCCATTTAGGCCTAGGAGAGTATTGCAGGTATAATTTTACAAAGATTGCAGAAACCGTTTCCATTTTGTGGGTGTGTCCGAAGCGAAGACACTGAGCCGCACGCGCTGCGATAGGTGAGCATTGCTGTGAAGTACGTATTACAGTAAAATACTTTGCCTAGGATTTAAAAACAGCAGAATCTGATCTCTGTAGCAGATTTAGCATAACCCAGAGTGCACCACGGGGAGGCCTGCTACTCTACACCCCCCAAAAAAAAATACCGGAGGGGGGAGTAAACTCTCATTGCTTCGGCAATACTGAGGCCTATCGGAGCCATTTACAAAATTTAAAAATTTATAAGAAAAATAATTAAAATACTATAATATTTACAATTAATTATTGACTAGAAAAAAAAAATAATTATTAAATATATATACAAATAAAATCTACAGAAATCAAAACTAAGGAAACTACGCACGATGAAAGCAAGAGGAAAAAAAGGTCTGCTCTCGCTGAAAATCAAATAGCTAACCTGAAAACCGGGTCTTCAATACAAAACAGAAGAAAAACACAATATAAATAAATCGCGCTCCTCAGCCTCCGCCATGTTTGATGCACGAGACCAATTCTGTGACTCACTCCCACGTGACAGGCGCTAAGTACAGTGGTTCAGCCGAAACACACCATACACTGAAGGTTCACTATCCACAATATTTCAAAGATAAAAATTAAAGTAATACAGAATAGACAGATTAGCATAAAGATTTCTTTCATGGGATATTCTTTATATATATCATATATTTATATATATTAAAAAAAAAAAAAAAAAAAAAACGGAAACTTTCTTTGAAAATCAGTGTCTTTAAAACAGAATATATCTCAATGTTAAGATTTGCTTGTGTGGTGCGACCATCTATTATTCTAAAGAGATTAAAAGTAACCATTAGGGTTTTCGTGATATTTATCGATTATTTTCAGTGTCTAAAGAGGGAATATTTTTGGTGTGTTCACACCGAACACACTGCGCCGGAAAGGGTTAATAGCCCACCAGCGGCCGAGCGGTAAAGTCCCTGAACGCTGGTAATTCGGTTCGAAACAGGTGGATGCATGGGAATTTTCGTGTTTTTCTCTATGTTTGACGTGTACATGAGTCGGTTTCCCTTAGAAAGTCTTTCAACGAAAGCATCATCCCCCTTAGGCAGATAACCCTCGAGTGCTTTGCCTGAATCAAATAAACCAAACCATTATTTAATGTCTCCTTACACGTAAGAAAAACCAAGCAAATGCAACTAACTCGTTCGATGCAATCTGAATTCAGGCGCAACTACTAATGCTATTATAGCGATTTTATCCGACCAGCTGCTGGTAGATCAAAAGTACTTACGTAGTATTCGAGTGCTTGGTAACCACCACGAATTGTTGACTGCAACGGTTGACAAAGAATGCATAACTTCCTACGATACATATAATTACCCGAGAGAACTTAAAAAATTAAAAAAATTCCTTTTTAAAGATCATGATTATTTCAGTTTCAATTTACCTAAATTAATATTAATAACACTAACTTTTATTAAATTTTTTATGTTAAATAAAAAAGTAGCGAAAAACTCCAGAGCTGACGGAGAATAATTATTCTTATTACCGCAGCAGTTTCGTGTGCAGTTACTTTCTTTTATTTGTTTTTTATAATTACGTACATTAGAAAATGATGTTTGGATAAATAATAAATAAATAAGCCGGATTTTTTTTTAGCTCAAAAGACTCAAAGATTTATATTTATTAGACTCAAGGATTTATATTTATTAGCTCAAAGGGGCCATTTGCCCTGAAGGGCTATTAATTTCATTTTGGCATTTTGCGTTGCTTCACTATAAACGGCGTTTCACTTTTCAGATTGTTGCCACTAAATATTAGAGTCCTGCATTATATTTTAAAGAAATTAAATAATGAAGAATTTGCTTGAATGTATGTACGTTTCTGGCATTGTGAAAAAACAACGGTATAGTGACATCAAATTTTGAATAACGTAGTTCTTCATTCGAATATGGGCATCTGGAAGCCCAAAGCCCAAATTTGAAATTTGGAATTTGTTTTAATATCTATTTGATATTTTGTAGAGCATTTATGAGTTTTTGATTAAGAGATGCAACGATTTCAAAGCGAGCAATGGCAACACTGTAAGAAAAAACATTTTTATCTCCAGCGCGCGAGACTGTAAATCGGAAATTTTAAAGATACGCTCATTTTAAAATTATTTTGCGACAATGCTGTTGAAGGCTTAGGTGCGAAGCATATTTACACAGGCGCCTAGGCTAAAACCCTCATCCTGCATGTAATGCATGGCGAAATGGCATAACATGAGAAATGTTGGCAGAGAATTCTAAAATAAAGAATTCTCACAAGATGTTGCGATGGTGAGAGCCTTGTGTATACCAACTCCGGAGAAAAAGGTAGACTGCATAAGAAATATACGCGAAATTAAGTGCAGAAGGTAGTCGTGAGGATTTCCTGCTTTCCTATTGGTTAGTCATGGGGGCGTTTCTACATCTTTTCTAATCTTCTGATTCTGCGAATTTTATGAGAAGCATGGCTGCTTGAAATCCTGTTTGTAGCTTTTCTGCTGAATTTTTTGCCGCTCTGATTTTGCCAATACATGCTATGATGGAAGTTAGGAAAGAGTTGATTTTTTCATCTTGGATCCAATTAAGAGCATCGTTAAGGTCTTTCGGTGAAGGGGTGATTTTTCCTTGCAGTTTCTCTCTGTGCGTAGCTTGAAGGAGGTTTTTCTTCGCTGGGATTGAGGAGCTGGGAAGTTTTCTTCGGAGAATTTTGGAGCTTTAGGCTGGGGGTGGGGCGGGCTGCTTTTCCTTTCAAACCTTTTCTTATATTCACCGCAGCCTCTCATTGCTGTTGAACTGAATTTTATGGTTTAAGTGCGCAAAACATGATATTTAATAATAATAATAATAATAATAATAATAATTAATATAATATCTGAAATTTTTCAGATTTTAAATTACGTCCAAAGGGCGTTTTTTTTTAACGTTTTGAGTGTTACCTTTATTTATTAAATATCATGTTCTTTGCACTTAAACCATAAAATTCAGGTTCAAGAGCAATATCGCAAAATAATGTTAAATTAAGCATATCTTTAGAATTTCCGATATACACAGTCTCGCGAGCTGGAGATAAAGTATTTTTTTTTATATATAGCGTTGCCATTTCTCGCTTTTAAAGCATTGAGTTTGTTAAATCAAAAATTCGTTAAAGTTTTACAAAATAAAATCTATAATAAAACAAATTCCAAATTTGGGGATTTTAGATGCCCATATTCGCAGTAGGATTTCGTCATTCAAAATTCGATGGCTCTATGTACCATTGTTTTATCACAATGCGAGAAATAGGCAATCATTTATGCAGATTTTTCATTATTTAATTTCTTCAAATATAATGCAGGACTCTAACATTTTGTGGCAACAGTTTGAAAAGTGAACCGACATTTATGAGTCCGACGCAAAATGCCAAAACGAAACTAATAGTCCTTCGGGATTCAAATCCCTTTGGACTAAAAAAAAAAAAAAAAAAGCCCCTTTAGGCGCAATATAAAATCTAAAAAGATTCAGATAAATTTTAAGTTAAAGAGTGAGATAAACAAAAGAATTGTGACGTGTGTTCTTTTGAGTGCTAATTTAATTTACATAAGCAAATGAACGGGATTCTATTCTTCAGATTAAACTGCTTTAAAACACGGGTAAATTATCAGTAGTATATTTCTGTTTGTCGTAATAAAGATTATCCCTCTATCTTATGTGCTTTCGAGTGCTGTTGAATTAGCAGTACTTTTGAGTTAACCTTAGACCTCAACAAAATGATGAAGTCAATCGTCAGCCTGAAACTATGCGATATTGTTAGTATAAATCCAAACTACGGGGGGAGTTTCGCATATTTTCATTCGCCGCAACCAAGGCGTCAATTTTGCCTTCTTTTTACACGATAAAATGCGCCACCCATGTATAATATGAGTACGAGCTAATTTCCCTTAGAAAAATCCTCCACGAAGAAGACTTCCCACTCGACTAGTCTTCGAATTTCGCTTTTTTTTCGCAATGAAGTTTTTACCCTAGTTATAATTTACTACTTGATGCCCCCAGACGGGAAAGTAGTTAGTGATTCTGACTGCCGAAGGCGCCG